TGAAAGATGAGGACTAAATATGGAAATGACACAAAACTCGGAGGACCTAAAGTGGAATTAATTCATTTAAATTACATATGTAAGTTTGGGGTGTTTATCTCACACCCCTTCAAAGTTTAGGGTATTTTAATTATTTTCCCATATATTTTCATAAGCAGACCCAACAAACAGTTATTAAAAAGCTCACAAAAATATTTTTTCAGTTAGTTGTGCCAAACATACCCTAAAGCTTACCCTAACGTCACGGGCTTTTTTCAGATGCTGCTCTATGTAGCTTCTCAAAAAAGATCTTTTAATTTTTGAAAAGCTCTTAAAATTGTCATATCAAACATAAAACTAGAAGCTTTTAGAGACTTTTTGAATAGTACAAAAGCTAGAAAGTATAGACTTATGCCTACCAAACATAACCATATTCTTAGTCTTAACAGTTTGTATACCGAACAGAGCTAAATCAAACAGTCAGCTTTTTACCAAACAGGTACTGCTTTTTCTTTTTAAGATATTTTCAGTCACTAAAATGTAACAGTTACTAAAAAACTCATAAAAGTATCTTTTCAGCTAGTTATTCCAAACATACCCTAAAGCTTACCACAAGAGAATTAGAAAATAAAAATAGACATTTGAAAATCGCAAGAGATTAATGGAAGATCATAAGAGAATCACGTCAAGTTTAGAAAATGACAAGTTCACTTTGAACGAAAAGGAAGGGGTAATCTATAAGTTTTAATTTCTGTGAATACTATCCGACCATCAAAGAAGCCTACTTTTCATCTAAAAGTAGTGAGATCTTTAAAATGACTTTTGGCCCGTTCATTATACATAAATTAAACTATTAAAGGTGATAACTGATAAGAATCATAAGATATTGACTATGAAAGCCATTTTTCAAAAATGGATTTGCATTCGTTAAATTTGCCTTCATGGGAAGTAATTTGATGCTTAACTTTAAGGCTTAAAGGAAGTTTTACTCTGTATCTTTCTTGTCGTAGCCAATAGGGCACTAAGGAAGTAAGGAGGGAGGCAACCAAACCAAATCAATCTTTCTTAATAAGTACTCGTAGTATTATTATGCTCGGAGATAAAAATGAAAACATAAAATGAATATATTGATAGTTGTACTTATTCTATAAATGATCGGCAACCAGGGCCGGTTATGGGGCAAGAGGGACGATCGCCCTAGGTCCGAAAAAATAGAAGAAAAAACAGGACCAATTTTTTTTCTTTACATATAGTGTGAGTAAGCTTCTTTTTTATTTTTAAGTTCAATTAATTAGGCTTAATGATTAATTTTGTTGACAATTTGAAAATTTAAAACATAAATAAAGAGTCTTAAAGAGAGACAAGTTTAAAATAGAATATATACATTAATTTTTAACAAGATCGGTTGTAGTTTTAAAAAGCAATACAATTGTTGCTGCATAAATAAAAGACATGTCTCTCTAGACTCTAGTCCTCACATCTTTTTAGCTTTTAAGGGTTTTTTTATTCAATTTAGTTATAACATACGGAGTAATAAATTTATGTAATTACTTCAGAGTTTGTTTCTCTCAAATTTCACCTCAATTATTCATTTGTTTTCAAATTTCAATAAGCTATATCTGAGTTTCTAATAGTAGTTATAGAGAACGTCAAATTTGATATCTTTTTGCGCGAGTTCTCTTGGCAGCCAAACATTTTGTCTCTTTGAAAGCTCTCATTCTTTTAAGACTTTAAATGTTCGACTCTCATCAGCGGTTAATAAATCATTCTCAACTTTATTAGTGGTAATATTTCTTTTCATTTATCCTTTCAAAAGAAAGTTTACTGTGGTTATGTGTGGCAATCTCATTATATTGTTTGTCATATTTATTAGTGGAAATAAGGTTGCTTATGAAACAATTATTAATGATTTGCTTTGCATTGGTCTACGAGAAACATTTTTAAGTAATGTTATTTGTTTTTATTCGATACTCGTGTTGTTACTTTTGGACAAATATATAACTTTATATAATACTTCTATGGTTTGATTTAGTAGTAATTTTAGTCCTATACTAATAAAGTGATTCTCGTCTTTACTTTATGAACTTCATTGCCCAAATACTACGTATAATTTACTTTTTGTCATAGATATATGCCCAAAATAGCGTACCGTCCATAGGCTCAGAAATGGACAGGACCGGCCTTGTCGGCAACACATAATAAAAATGATAAAGAAAATGTCTTTTACAAATTTTCAAAAAACAAAGACTTAAAAGAAAGGATACATCTGTTTGCATTTTCCTTTAATCATGGGTAAAAATTACGGTATGAGTACTACACCGAAAATAATTCAAATATTCCAAATTTTCAAGGAGTGTGAGATAAGTAACTCATACTCTGTATTTGTTTATGTAATATCAACACTTCGAATTTTTTATAAAAGAATTACCTTAACGCCATGAAAATTGCCTTAATACCAGAGATTAAGCCCACTATGTGCATCGCTCTCCACTACAAAGCTTCTTTGATATCCTAATTGCTTATGTATCCCCTTGCACCTGACTGCAATCTTTTGTATCCAAAAGAAAAATTATACTTTGCCTTTTAGAATGCCTGTGTCGAGCAAAACTTGTGTTGTCCCTTGGTTCCCTAACCCTCTATAGTTCCAGCATACAATGCTCATGGATTCTCATTCCGGTGTTGTAGGAACTGAAACCTTTAAAGATATTGTTCTAAATAGGAATAAAAACGTTTTGAAATTCAAAAAAAGAATTTTCATGTTTTTATTCTCTAAATAGGAGTAATTTTGCCAAGTTTGGAAAAATGACATGTTTAAAACCTAATAATGTCAAACTTGGCTGAAATTTACCGCTATTCAGGGAATAAAAAAATAATAATCTTACTTTAAAATTTCAAAACTTTTTTACTTCTATTTAGGAATTGTTTCCGACTATTAAAACTTGTGCCGCCTTATCGCACCACCGTTCAACAAAAAAAACTAAACAAAGACGCTAGGCCCATCCACTTCTGCACCTCCACGCTTTCTGTGGGGGGTCAATATGATATAAAATCACATTTTAATTGTTTTTATTTCAATTATAAATCCGCCTTTATTTGTTACCTGTCGTTCACAAATTATCAAACCTAGTCTAATTACCTGAGAAGACCAAATAAATTACCTAGTCTAACATCAAATAAAACTCATCGGTACGTTGTTATAAAGCACACATGATATAACACGGGGACTTGTTAAACTATAGATTAGAATGAACAAGATTAGACTTAGGATAAGTTTGACACGAGTAGCTACAAAGATAAATTTGTAAGTTTTTTTTAGTAACTATTGACTTTTAGTTATTGAAAAGGTGTACACAGAAAAATGTTAGAAGTTTGATAAAGTTGACTCTTCAATTAAGTTTTATTTGGTATTAATGTTAAAAGCTACGGAATAGGCTAAAATTACAAAAACAAACATTAAACTCGGAATTTATTTATTTTTATATCATAATGTTTGAGTTTTTAATCATAATTATTAGTAAAATCGTGTTGACAAACTGATGTATTATTACAAATTTGTTGAGTAAAATATATTTATGATATTGGATTGTAGGGAAAACTGAATTAATAAGTGATATCTCATTTTTGTATAAAAATATCTAAAATTTGATTTATTGAGTTATGGTGACAACGGGCCTAAATGCCTAAGATAGCCTATTTATTGAGTTATGATTGCTTTCGACGAATAGGTGAACTATTTACATAACCACTCATTTACATAATGTAATTGCAATGGATGACTCACTGTCTAAATGAGTGACTATGGTGATTATGTCTTCCTAAAATTTCCCTGTATAATTGTATAATCCCTCCGTCCTACTTCCTCCGGTTCTTATTAAAGTTCTCACTTTCCTTTTTGGGATGTCCCTTGTTTAAGTTCACACTTCCATTTTAGGAAACAAAACAGTGTAAAATAGTGCCAAACAGTGCTAAACAGTGTCCAAACAGTGTCAAACAGTGCACTCCACAGTAAAGTCAAATTCATTTTCTTAATATGTGTGAAGTCAAACTGGGAACTTAAATAAGAACCGGAGGGAGTATTAGATTATGTTGATTCTCTTTTTTTGTTTATCTCATTACTTTTTTCACTTTCATACTAAAATAATTCAATTTGCTATTCATTTTTTCACCTCTTCACAACTCTCAATTATATACTACCTCTGTCCCAGCCGACTTTGCCAAGTGCAAAGTAGGTGAGAAATAAGAATAGTAAAAACTGTGTGATTAAAATTTGTGGAGAGTAGAGAAATGTGTAGAACCACAAATTAGTTGCTTTAATAGGAAACTGACAAAATTTTTTGGGACAAAAAAATGAAAGTTGGCAAAGTCCAATGGGACGGAGGGAGTATTACCATATGTAGTGATTGTTTACATTTTTATGAGAAAGGTTGTTTGTACAAATAATTTTTTCCCGTTTTGTGAAAAGAATCATTTTTCGGTCGACAATTTCTTTTGTCTGTGACACATACATTTTTTTGTCGATAAGAAAAATAGTTCTCACCACCAAACGAAAAAAGATTGGTTGTGCACAGATAATTTAATCGACGTGTAAATTGGCGTGTACAACTATGATTGATTTTTTATTTCTCATCTACTCCCTCCGTATCACAATAAGAGTCTCAGTAGGCTTTGCACGTTTTTTAAGATAGTTTATAGGTTTACTCTGTAAACTTTTTGAAAAAGTGAAGAAATTTTGGTGCTATAGCTGTAGCTACTTTTGAAGTGAAATTATTTCCTAAAATAGAAGTGAAACACTTATTTTGATACAACCAATAAAGGAAAGTAGGATACTTATCCCGATACGGAAGGAATTTTTTTTATCAAAAATGATGTTTGTACACACTCTTATACACACTTTGTAAACACCTATGTCTGTGAAAGCTTTTGTTTTTTTCTGTGAACATCGATTCATAGACAATGTTTTGCTCAAACAAAATATGTTTTGCATAAATAAAAAAAACTTCATAATTTTTAATGGACGGCAGCAGAAGAAACCTCAGCTCACCTTTACAACACGGCATTATTCGATTCATCATTCGACCCCTTGCTTTCTACGGAGTGGATTACATATATAACCAGCGATACAAACCTTCTTAACTTTCTGCAGCCATCGGCAATGGCGCTTCTTTATCCCAACAATGTCTTTTCATATTCCTTTACAGCCCTATTTTTACTTTCGCTTTATCTCCGTTCAACGGCGTATTACGTTTGGAAGGGCCGACATAGCCAGCAGCAGCACATACAACAAGCCAGAATGCCGGTAATCAAACCCTCTTGCAATATGTTCTACGGAAGCTGGATCTACGATGAATCTTACCCTCTCTACTCACCCTCCAGCTGCAACTTCATCGACTCGACGTTTGACTGCAGCCGGAGACCCGACACCAATTACCTTAAGTATCGCTGGCAGCCGGCCGCCTGTGACCTCCCTAGTTTCAACGGGATCCAATTTCTGAATAAAATGAGAGGGAAGAGTGTGATGTTTGTCGGCGATTCTCTGAGCCGCAACCAGTTTGAGTCGTTGATTTGTATGATTCAAACCTTGATTTCACCTTCTGATCCAAAACCCCAAACCCAGATGAACGGCGGCGACCCATTATCCTCTGTATCTTTCCCTGTAAGTATCTGGGACTATTGTTTTGCATTTGAAATGATTGTTAATTACTTGATTCTGAATCTATTTTATAGTCATCAATAATAAAGATATAACATCACAGTAAATTCCATTGCTCTTCTTATTAGATTAGCTCCATTTTTGTAAGTAAATATTTTATTAACTTTCAACTCTGCACAAAATTAGGAGAACTCATATGCTAGTTTTAGCTAGCGTATGAGAGGGCTTAACATATACGAAGTATATTTTGGCTCATTGGAGTATACCAATTTTGAATTTCATGTGCTCTTTGTTGCGGACTTGCGGTATATCAAAATGAAATTGCTTGATACCATATCAAGATTAATTGCTTGATACCATATATCAAGATTAATTGCTTGATATCAAACTTAGAACAAGATAGTTTGAAGCAGCAGAAAAGTTTGATGATAATTTTAGGAATCACTTAGGATCTCGCCTTGTGTATGTAGTATCTGTCTTCATGTTCGATATGGTGCAATTCATGTGGTCAACCTGAATAATTTTTATTCTCCAACTCCATATCAATTTTTTAGTAATTCAGGTCGGTTTTTGTAATTCAATAGAATTTTTATTTTATCATAAGTTGAAGTTCGTAGATTGTAATGAACTAACCAATTTGAGGGGGATGCTTTAAATTATGTGTGTTTAGTATTCAGATGTTTGATTAGTGATAAATTAACTGCTAAAAAATTCAGGAGTATGGAGTGAAAATATCGTACTACAAAGCAGTATTCCTTGTGGATATAGACATGTACCAGGGGAAGAGATATCTGAAACTGGATGACATAAGAGGAAACGGGAATGCTTGGTTGAATGCAGATGTGCTTTCTTTTAACACAGGTCACTGGTGGTCTCATTCGGGCTCTACCCAAGGGTATTTATCTATCTATGCACTTCTGCCTTCTTATATTTATAAGAAATTTCTCCTGCTTTCCGAATCAGAGGAACTGTATTTTTTCTATAAACGTGAATTAATGTTGTCATCCTCCTCAAAAGTACTAGGGAGTATCATACTCCCTTTTTATAAAAAGTCAATTTTGACTTGCACGTAGAAATGTAGAATAATAAATAAAAGTTTGTGTGATTGAAGTTTACATAAAACTGGGAGAAATAGCATGAAGCACAAGTTCTTTACATTAAAAGGAAATGACAACTTTTGAGAAGGCTAAATAAGGATAACTGGCAAACTTTTTTTGGGATACATAATGTAATGTTTGATAGTGCCAAAATGCCATAGTATGGCAGATTTCAAGATGACATTGCTTATATTTAGAGAAAAATGTACTCTTATTTGGGAAAATCACTTTATTGTTACTCATATCGTGGGAAACCTTTAATATATTTTGTGGAAAATTGGTTGAATCAGTTGAATTTATTTAAATCGGTGGAATTCTAGCTGAAGCGGATGAAACTGTTGAATTATGGAAGAAATATACTCTGTATTTAAGATATATTTTATTAAAAAGATATTTAAGATATATTTTATTAAAAAAAAACTATTTTGAAAAATAGCCAAAATAGTGATGTTCAGCTAATTTAACCAAATCAGCCAAAAAATAAGTCTAACTTTACTTATTTTGATTATTATTACATACATAATTCAATGCGTAAAATTAAAATTTATGTGTTTGATAAAAAGTAAACGATAAAGGTTGATAAGCCAAAATGACAAGTTAATAAATGGGCTCTTTATATATTCCGTAGTATTCAATGTAAAATCTGTGGTTTATTCCATTGATTGCTCAAAAAGTTAATCGGGTGCAGTTGGGACTATGTGGAGTATGATGGGGTGCAACATCAAGCTTTTCAGGATCCACTGGATGCTCTTGAAAGAGGACTGAGAACATGGTCGCAATGGGTGGATGATAATGTTGATTTCAGTAGAACGAAAGTGTTTTTCCAAAATATCTCTCCTACACACTACGGGTACGTTTCTTTCTCTTTTAACCATTCGCAAGTGAAACCCCATCAACAATTTCTTCGTTTTCTTTTTGTGACAATTGACTTTGGGGGTTCATGGTTAAGATTAACAGGCTGGTCAATGGAGTGTATTATTGTGCGCGTGTAAAATATCCCCCCTTTTGGATTTGGGTGGGAGAAAAGATTTGGGTTAGATGACTTTTTGGGTTCTCTTTTGTAGGATTAGCTGTCATTACTATTTCTGCACCAGGCAGATATTTTGTCCATGTGTTTTTCAAAAGTTATGGTTCTTAAACAAACATCGTTTTCTCTCTAGCTTGGTCGCGTTTTCAATGTAAAAAGTAAACAAAAATTGCATTGAAAAATTAAATCCATTTTGATTGTTCGGATTCGGTAATTTTTTACGAGTTTAAAAGACTTGCTATGTTTGCATATCAGCTTCAACAAAAACGCAGAAACAATTGAATTAAGGCTATGTTTGGCAGGCACAAGTCTTTGTTTTTTAGCTTTTGTACTATTCAAAATGTCTAAAAGCTTATAGTTGTATGTTTGACATGACAATTTTTAAGAGCTTTTCAAAAATTAAAAGATCTTTTTTGAGATGCTACAGGGAGTAGAATCTGAGAAAAACCCGTGACTTTTAGTACTCCATCCGTCCCAATTTGATTTGCAAAAATTCCTATTTTGGTTGTCCCAAAATGGTTTTCCACTTTCTATTTTAGGTATGTAAATAAGAATAAAGTGACAAATTTACCCTTACTTTTACTTTTTCTCCATTAACTCAAATGCATCTACTTTTAGAAAGATGGGCAAAAATGTAAAAAGCAAACATCATTTATTGTCATTCCTTAATCTTCGTGCCGGGCAAAGTTTGCAATTCAATTCGGGACGGAGGGAGTATTAATTAGTCCTAACAGTTTGTATACCAAACCTAATTAATCAAACAGTCAGCTTTACCACCTTTTATTTTTAAAATCTTTTCAGTCACTAAAAGTTAACAGTTACTAAAAAGTTGACAAAAGTATTTTTTAAGCTAGTTGTGCCAAACATACTCGAAGTGCATGTTTGGTAGACATAAGTCGCTATCTTCTAGTTTTTGTACTCCCATTATTTAAGAGGTCTCTAAAAGCTATTAGTTCAATGTTTGACATGCCAGTTTTGTAAAGTTTTTTTAAAAATAAAAGATCTTTTTTGAAATGCTACAATGAGTAGTATCTTAGAAAAGTATGTAGCTTTTAGCATTAATTAATCCCAACAATTTGTATATTTGTATGTCAAACAGAACTAAATCAAACGGTCGGCTTTTTATCAAACAACTACCATCTTTTTCTTTTGAGATCTTTTCAGTCACTAACAGTTACTATAAAGCTTATAAAAATATCTTTCCAGCTAGTTGTACCAAACATACCCTCAAAGTACTACAAAATGCAGCAAATTGGGTTGGCGTTTCGGCCAAACCGCTAAAAAACAAACGAAACTAATAAGCTCTTTTGTACTCCGTATCTAACTCCTTTTTCTATTTATCTAACTTATCAACCATTTTTTTATCATTTTCCATCATTTCCGATGAAACCAAAGATTTGCAATTTTATGACTTGAGAATATGATTGATAAAGCAAAATGACTCATCAAACTGAATGTGCTTCTTTGTTACGATGACACAATGGTCAGTCCATTCAATTTTCGATGTGATTTTCATCATATGTTATCCGGAAACAGTTTCTTGCTTTAGTACACCGTAAGGTTGTATACATTATCCCCTTACCCCACCATAGGTGCAAATCTTTGCGGTAGTGGGAGTATTGTTATTATATTGACCATTTTTTTATAAATCACTGGACTTGATTTTGCGGCTCAATTTATATGATAATCAAGAGAGATGGTGACATAGGATATGACCGAAGGGGACCCAGAATTTCTAACCAGTAGGTCTCTGCTAACGTTGTCCTAGGCATGAAGCCCAGATTTTTGTACTTACAAAGAATGATTTTACGGGAATCACCATAGTTGGGGAGATCAAAATAGGAAATTTCTCCAAGTAGTCTCGTCTTGTATATGATATATTATGATGAAAGATTGAGCAATCACCATGGTTCCGTTATGTATAGCTCTGGGCAATGGAATATAGGACCAACATCTACAACGTTAGAGAGCTGTACTGGACAGACAGGACCTAGTATGACATATCCAGTGACATACCCCGACCCAATTGAAGAGGTGTTGGCAAACGTAATTGGAGGAATGAAGAACCAACCATTCTTGCTCAACATAACTGCGCTATCGGAAATGAGAAAAGATGCACACCCGTCCGTTTACAGTGCAAGTAGCAGCTCAGCTGAGATGGCAAACCAAAAAACTGCTGATTGCAGCCATTGGTGCCTTCCTGGCTTACCTGACACCTGGAATGTGTTATTCAACTATGCTCTTTCCCTCTAACCTCGCCTCCATGACCTACTTAGGTGCTAATGAGGCTATATAATTTGCTTCTGGAACCTGTCTTTCGGCGTCTTAGAAGAATATGGGGATGACAACCCTTAGAACGACCCTTCATCCATCCTCATTGCTGTATCTACCCTTAAGGAGTTTTTGCAATTTCACAAGGAGTAGAGTTTTGTAATTTCATTTATATGTATATATGTAATCACAGTACCATGGCTGCCAACTTGGTGTGTGTGCCTGCGTATGGTTGGATGTAGTAGGACTATCAGAACAATGTATTTATTCATTTATTTATTTATTATTTTATTTAGACATACTAGTGATGTGTAAATCCTTTGACATGTACGGAGTATTTTAGAACCATTGGATAATTGTTATTTTCAACTTATGAGCTTTATCGACCAATTTTCTTTACTAAACACATAGTTTCAGATTTTGTGCACTAAGTTATATAATAATCAAAATAAGTAAGATTGAAGTTATTTTTTTGTTTAATTGATTGAGGTTATGTAGAAGATCATTTAGCTCCTTATTCAAATATCTCATTTAGCTTTTCATGAAATTCCTGGTTGAATTTCATAAAGTTGAGTAGATTAGCCGATTAAGCTAATTCCATTAGTTAACTAGGTAAACCCATCGGGCTGGTTCAAAAGCAAATACTAGTTCTGCTTACATAAAATGGGGACCAAAGGTGAAATACACACGTAAGTTACTTAAAATGCTGCTTACTAACCGAAAGAGGTGCTTAAAGTGTCGCTTAATAAGCATACCACCCTCATGTATTAATTAAGCGGCACTTTAAGCTTTTTTAGTTTCCGAATTTACCCTTACCTTTACCTCTTGCCCATACCCTATTGCTACCCACTACCCCGCCCTACCCTACCTTACCTCGACCCCTAGGACCCCCAACCCCACCCTGACACCCTGACCCCACCCCCACCTTTGACCTGACCATACCCCACTCCCACCTACCCCTACCCCGACCCTACCCTCCACCACCTGCCCTACCCCACCCCACCCCCACCCCATACCCCCATACCACCTTCCCCTACCTTGACCCGACCCCACCCCCACCCCTTTACCCCTTACCTCGACCCACCCCCTTATCCCCACCCCCACCCTACCCTACCCCACTTGTACCCCTTACCTCGACCCTACCCTTTTACCCCTACCACCTGCCCCTACCTTGGCCCCACCTCGACCCCACCCCCACCCTTGACTCGATCATACCCCACCCCCACTACTCCTTACCTTTATCCTACCTCGACCCTACCCTTTTACCGATTACCATTTGCCCCTACTTCGACCCCACCCCACCCCAATCCCAACCCCTGCCCCACCACCTTACCCAACCCCTACCCTACCACCCTAATCCCCCTTACCCTTACCCCTACCCTCCACCACCTGCCCTACCCCACCCCCACCCCTTACCCTACCACTTTACCACCTAACCACCTTCCCTACCTTGACCCGACCCCGACCCCACCCCCACCCCTTCCCTACCTCGACCCTACCCCCACTTGTACCCCTTACCTCGACCCTACCCTTTTACCCCTACCACCTGCCCCTACCTCGACCCCACCTCGACCCGACCCCCGACCCCTGACACCACCCACTCCCATTACCATACCTCGACCCCTACCCCTTTACCACATATCACCTGCCCCTACCTCGACCCAACCCCTACGAGTAGGGTGGGGGTTGGTATGGGTGGGAGTAGGGTGGAGGGTAAGGTCGTGGTAAGGGTAGGGGTAGGGAAGGGGTGGGGGTCAAGGGTGTGGAATTGGGGGTAGGGTGAGGGGTGGGGTACAGGGCGGGGTAGGGGTTAGGGGTGTGGGTAAGCGACTAAGCGTATGAGGTGACCCCACATATTATATTATATACTTGTGTTCATAAATGTTTGTGTGTGTATATATCTATAGGGTTATTTTGGACATTTTAATGTTAAACGGTGTTTTAAATCCTTTGAAGTAAATATGAGCTTACAACACTTCTTATTTTATGCGCCATTTATTAACGCAAGTCTTAATAAGCACCGTTTACTAACCCGTGAAGTAAACGTGTCCTAAGTGTTGGTCATGGGACTTGGGATGCATGGATGGATTATTAGGGGTGGAGCCAAGGCGGTCAGGATAGCCTACCTTCAATTTGATACTACGTATATTATAGAGCACTAGAGCACCTTTGATTTGATATATTATAGTTCCCTACTCATTACGAGTAAAAAAGTCAACTCACAAAAATTAGTACTATCTACACTTGAAATGAGTAAAATATGATACATGATATTGATTATTTCCTACATCCCATAAAATAGTTCCACTAGAATTTGGATCGGAGTTTAAGAAAGTAAGAATAAAGTAGAATTGTATAATTATGGTTGAGTAAAAAAAGTAAATGAATGGTAGTCATACAAAACATGGGAAAGGAGACTATTTTTTGGGACAGTCCAAAAAAGAAACTGGAAACTATTTTACAGGACGGAAGGAGTATATTCTCAAATTTTAAAAATAATGTAAAATTAACTCATTACTTACGTGAAATTCATAATGTATATACATGTATATTAACTATGTAATTGTATTAGTCACATTTAAACTACCGTTTATATAAGTTATACAATAGTATATATGAAAACATTCGACTTAAGCATCGTTTAAAAACAATCCACAACTAGGCCTATAAGCAGTTTTTTTCTCTTATAAGTAGTTAAATCCCTCATTCTTTCCTCGTCTTTTCACTGCTTTTATAACTTAAATTCTTAACATCTTATCTTTGGGGTAGGGGTGAACGCAATCCCTTTCTGGTCCCGGTCAGTGTTAGGAGAAGCCCGAGTCTAACCTAGTTAAAATCGAGTTTGGGTTGGTTCTATTACCCGGGCAGTCCGGTCCCCGGTTCCAGTCCTCGCCTGGATCAGATCCGATTATAATTTAATTTTCGTTTTCAAGGAAAAAAATAAAAAACAAAACTTGGTCAGTCTAGATCCGAAATTGGGACCGGAACCGCCCAGTTGTATCCCCAAATGGGTGAACTGTAACTGGGTAATATGTTTGGGCGAACAATGAGCGGTTTCAGGCATGAACCGGATTTTTCGAACCCAATTCAGTCCCAAACAGTGTTGGACCCTATTCCGAACCGCCGAATCGGGTTCACCCTTAAATTGGGGGATCTCAAATTCTTAATTGGATGGGTTTTGGAATCCGAACTGGAACCGATGAATTTGATTCTGGTTCAATCTTTAAATTTAATATATACTCACTTCGTTCCATAAAACTTGGTCATGTTTACTTTTTTTACCGTCCTAAAAAATTTTGTCATTTCCATTTAAAATAACAAGTACTACGTATGTGATTAAAACTATTTTTCTCTCCTCTGCATAAATCTCAATCATACAATTTTTACTTTATTATTTTACGTACAAATCAACATTGAACAAGTTTTGAACAAGTTTTATGGGAGGTAGAGAGTGTTTTTGTATTTTATGGGTTACCAAAGGCGCTTAAGTACGGTAAAAAAACAGACGCTTGTAAGTTGTAAGTACCGAGTATCAATAGTAATTGATATGTATGCTCTCATGCACCTTCATTCTTTATATAGAGAGAGTGTTTGGTTGGAGCGTATCATCAGCCATTTTTTTGAACCTTGGAGAAGCTATGCGTGCTAGACTTCACTCTTCAGGATGTTGTTAAACAGCTGAAGAAATTAGGATAATCAAGAATGTTAAAACAAAACAATCATACATAGTATATATGACTTCTGTTCGCAATTTTTTTGTCATAAATTTAAAACGATTTAATAGTTGCACTAATAACAAATAATTATGGGATAGCCCTTAAACGTCATTTAAAGAGTTATTTAAATGATTACTCTCTCCGTCCCACAATGAACTTCACAGTTTGACCTACACATATTAAGGAAATAAACTTACCATGAGGTAATTTTACTGTTTTGACACTGTTTCAACACTGTTTTGCACTGTTTCGACACTGTTTGAAAATGAGAACTTGTTTCTAAAACATCCAAAAAAAGGAAAGTGAGAAGTTCATTGCGGGACAAATAGAATATTTAACCAAACATAATTTACAAACTGTTAATACTTGGCTAATCAAAACAGCCAAAAGTATCATAAATCTACGGTTGAATCAGAAAAACTATGGTCATGTCAAAATAGCAGTACATTCAATTCACTGCTTCCCAATTTATTTCATTGCTGCTTTCAAACAAGAACGGGAAGACGTTACTATAAACAGACAGAGAGTAGATTCACATTGCGGCACCGCAATAGGGGCAGAACTGGAAATCAGCCTCAACCTCCCGGCCGCAGAAGCTACAGCTGCTCAGACCATCCGTGGAGCGCGGCGGCGGAAATTGGGAAGGGGATAGCGACTGGGGGAAGAAAAGCTTGCAGTTATTGCAATAAAGAGACGATTGGTCGCCGGGCCTTCTCCAAACGGGGACGAAGAAGATTTTGAAGACCTTCTCGTAGTGGACGAGATCAGCCCCGGATCCGCAGGCTATGCATCTCCCCACCCCGCTCTTCAGAACCTGCTTCACTTGATTCTCTACTCCTCCAGCGAAGAAGAAGAACATCGTCCTCAGCTCCTTTTTCTTCTTCAATTGCCCGATTGTGTTTACCAGAGGGGAAGGCGGTATATGTATGAACGCTGGAGTCTTCTAGTGTACGTCTAGATGTTTCCAGGTGTTTTGGTCGCCCGATGCAACGCTTGTAGCTCCACGTCACCACAAGGAAGTCTTCGCTTTTGGAAGTGATCACGCTAATTTCACCTCCATATTTTACACTTAAATGTTTGCTTAGATAATTCCATCCTCCATATTTTATTAAGCAACTTATATAATCTTTTATTAAGTAGGGCCAGGCTGGGTAGTGTAGGACCCGCACAGGTCATTAGATGTTGGCCTATGATGGGGGAAGTCCGCCACGTCCCGCAGTAACCTAATAGTTACTACACATATCTAACGGCCGAAGTCATTATAGATTGAACTTACATAAAGTTTATCTCCAATAAAAGGTTTCAAAAATTAAGAAAAAACGGTTTAGAATTGAATAATTTACTATTTATTTATGATAAATGAATATATAAAGGCTAAATATAAAAAAACATATTGACAATTAACTTTTCATCTAGTTCAAAATGTAAATACACTTCCTCCGTCTTTTAAAATTTTGTCATCTTTCTTTTTTGGGATGTCCCAAAAAACTCTGTCACTTTCTCTTTTAATCAATTATTTTTTGGTTCCTGTTATTTCTTTCTCTTCTGCACAAATTTCAACCGCACAGTTTTTACTTTATTATTCTCTGTTCCGGTCAAACATGACAGAGTTTTAAGAGCCGGAGGTAGTAATATATTAAAAGGCTAAGGAAATCATGAGTTATTATTCACGCATATATTGTATATTATGTGTATTGCTAGTGCTCGGTATAAATTAAAAATGATACATATTTATGTATTGAACAAGCTGGATCGAGTCGGAACGATACAGGTCAATGCTGATACTCAAATCATTCCCATTGTATGAATGACAAGTATATAAAGGATATACATTAAGTAGTTTTTATCTTAATCATTATCATTAATTATTGTTAATAGTTTAGTATATATCCATATGTATTTACTCATGTATATCTCTTTTTTTGTTGAAGAAACTCATGTATATCTCTTGTAACCAACTGCACGAATGAGTACTAGACTCCTAGTTGAACTCTACTGCATGTAGCTTATATATATGGATGTATGTAGTACTATTCTTTTCAATTCAATGAAAATCACAATTGCTTACATGGTATCCACAGCCTTCTAGAGCTTCCTCTACCTCAATATTTTTTTTCTCCTGATTCCTCGATTCCCTCATAATGGAAATCATGGCAACCACTTCTCTTGTCCAACTCAATGTACCCACCAACCTTCCCATCAAATTAACTGCTGGAAATTTTCCAGTTTGGCAATGACATGTTGAAGCTACACTTATTGGCTATAATCTTCTTGCTTATGTTGACGGTACTATTGTCATTCCGGCAAAATTCACTGATGATGCCAAGACGGTTCCAAATCCTTGCTATTCAATTTATTTTCGTCAAGATCATATCCTGATTAGCGCCTTGCTTGGAAGCTGCACCGACTCGGTTCAACCTCTCATCTCCAATGTCATGACGGCAAAAGAGGCATGGGATGTTATTCTAACCAGCTATGCCAATGCGTCTCGTATTCTTGCTCTCAAAGATAAACTCTCTCGCAATCCGCGAGGCAATCGCTCAATCTCTGAGTATCTAAAGGATATGCAAGAAATTGTCGGTGATCTCACCCTAGCCAAGAGTCCGGTGTCTAACACTGATCTGCACATATCCATTCTCAATCAATTAGGTGGTGATTATCGTCCCATCATCAGTGCACTACGTGTCCGCAACACACCCACCTCCATGATTGAATTGTCTCAGATTCTTACTGATCATGAGAGATTTCTCGAGGCTTCTGATGAACCCAGTGCTTCTTCATTAATACCTACTGCTAATGCTACTCAGAGATATACTCCACATGGTTCGGTTGCTATTGATGCTCGCAAACGTGATTCAACTCCTCATGGTGGCTATCATTCATGCTCCAGTCAGCAACCCTCAGCTAGTTCCAAGCCTTCCACCCCGAACACTTCTAGTCGGGCATCACCCATTTGCAGATTTTGTAACTTTCAGGGGCATGTTGTTAAGGATTGTCGCAAACTGGCTCGATTTCTTCGTGAGAATCATCTCACTGTCTCTCCTTATGTGCATACTACAATGACCACCAGTGCACTCTCAGGCCCCTCAACACCTTGGATGTTTGATTCTGGTGACTCTCATCATGCAGCCTCTGGTGTGGCTTCTCTTCAAGAGTTTTCAACGTATGACGGTTCGGATGAAATTCACTTAGGCAATGGTATGTCTCTCCCTATTTCTCATGTTGGCCGTACCCTAGTTTCTACTCCTACCTGTCCTCTCTCTCTTACTAATGTTTTATGTGTTCCCCAACTTCACAAAAATCTTGTTTCAGTTTCTCAACTTTGTAAAACTAATTGAGTTTCTGTTGAATTCTTTCCATCTCATTTTCTTGTGAAGGAACAACCAACCGGGAGTCCAATCCTCAGGGGTGAAAATATCAATGGCGTATACTATGCTTCGTCGGTCAGTCCACCAAGTATCAATGCTACCAGTCTATCTACTTTATCTCAACTCGACCACCGCATGGGTCATCCGTCCAATAAAGTCTTAGTTTCTATTTTAAATAAATGTAACATGACCGTGTCCACTCGGTCACTTAGTGAGTTTGTGTGTACCTCTTGTCATATTAATAAAAGTCATAAATTACCCTTTGCGGTTAATTCACTTACTAGTACTCGTACACTTGAACTTATTTATACTGATGTTTGGAGCACAAAACAAATATCAGTTGACGGATTTCTCTATTATGTCATATTTGTTGATCATTTCACCAAATATAGTTGGTTGTATCCTGTTAAGAAAAAATCGGACGTCTATGTTATATTTCCTCAATTCCGTAGACTTGTGGAAAATAAATTCAATCACAAAATTGTGACCTATTTTCTGATAATGGTGGGGAATTCATTAAATTATTTCCTCTCTTAAATTTAGCTGGTATTTCTCACTTTACCACTCCCCCTCACACTCCTGAACACAATGGGGCAACTGAACGCCGTCATCGTCATATCGTTGAAATTGGCTTATCTCTTTTACATACGGCATCTCTCTCGGTCACATTTTGGCCTCATGCCTTTCAAACTGATGTTTATCTTATCAATCGTCTACCCACTCTGTTACTAAACTATGCCTCTCCCTATGAACGCCTATTCCAAACTGTTCCTAATTATACAAAATTACAACCTTTTGGTTGTTTATGTTTTCCTTGGCTGCGTACTTATACTAGTCAAAAACTTCATCCCAGGTCTGTTCCGTGTATTTTTTTGGGCTAGTCGGTATCTCAATCGGCATACAAATGTCTTGAAACCTCATCAAACAAATTGTACGTTTCCCGGCATGTCAAATTTGTTCCCCATATTTATCCCTCAATTTCTCCCTCCACATCATCCAATCTCCCATCCCCTCCTGTACGCATACAAGTAGTATCTAGTTCCCACAATGAGTCAGCCTCATCTCCTATTTCCACTCAACACGTGACCCCATCTACCAATTTCCATGCTACTCCTCCACACCATATTCCATCCTTATCTCCCACTCAACCGCCTGCCACTCCTCTCTTATCACAACCAAATTCTCCAGTAGCACCTACAAACCCACAACCAAATATTTCCCATAATCATGCAACCCATGTGTCTCGACCCCCTCGGTCTCGTCATCTCAATCCAAAATACTTCGGTCCATCATTTATTAATGTTTCCACAGTACATTCTCCTCCTTCAACTCTTGAACCCCGGACTGTCACTCAAGCTCTAAAGGATCCACTCTGGCGGCTTGCTATGGATGAGGAGTACTCTGCACTCAAACAAAATAGAACGTGGGATCTGGTTCCCTCCACCGGCTGTCATACTATCGGGTGCAAATGGATCTTTCGAATCAAACGGAAACCCGATGGATCCATTGACCGTTACAAAGCCCGTCTTGTGGCTAAGGGGTATTCTCAGGAAGGCCGGACGTGATTACTCGGAGACATTTAGCCCTGTCATGAAACCTATAATGGTACGTATCATTCTTACTTTGGCATTAAAACATGGGTGGTCCATTCGTCAACTTGACATCAACAATGCCTTTCTCAACGGCACTCTTCATGATGAGGTTTATCTTGATCAACCGCCAGGCTATATTGATCCTCAACACCCGAATCACGTTTTCCGCCTTCGTAAAGCATTATATGGCTTGAAACAGGCCCCTCGGGCATGGTATGTTGAGTTGTCTACCTTCTTGATTCAATTTGGATTTCATAAGTCAAGGGCAGATTCGTCCTTATTTATATATACCTCTCGGGGAGTTCGTATGTATTTCTTGGTCTACGTGGATGACATTGTTCTCATGGGTAATGATAACAATATTTTGAATCGGTTCATTGCTATACTTGCTGCTCGATTTGGGCACTCTTCATCACTTTCTGGGTATCCAAGCCATTCCTACACCTACTAGGATGTTTCTCTCTCAGTCTCAGTATATTTACGATATTTTGACCAAGTTTCACATGGATGGAGCCAAACCAGTATCTACTCCCATGGCCTGAGATGAACGTCTACCCCCTGTTGATCCCTCCCAGGCCATTGATACATCTGACTATAGACGACTTCTTGGCTTATTACAATATCTCGGACACACCAGGCCAGATATCCCCTTTTCGGTAAATCGGCTCTCTCAATATATGCATGGTCTGTTGTCTGCTCATTGGCTTGCAGCCAAACGTGTTTTACGGTATCTTAAAGGAACCATGTGTCATGGTCTTCTACTGCGCGCTGATGCTCCTTTGAACCTTACTGTTGGAGATCATTTTATTGTGAATCAAGCTTGTCATATGTCTTGTAATAGCTTAACTTTTATTATATCCTTTGTTATTAATGTTTGTATTTATTAGGGTATAAAAGATATGGGGCCAATGTGTCAGGTCCAGATCAGGCTGAAAGCCTTTATGCAAACCTTTAACCTGCGCATTTAAAAAGGCGCTTTAGGTTTAGGTCTGCGTTAACTTTCGTACTCAATCAAAATAGCCTTAGCGCATATCAAAGAGGGATTTCATCGATCATCTGTGTTCATCTTTGTGTTGTTTTACTTCTTGATATATCATATTATATTGATGTTATAGAAAACAGGGACTAACAAT